TAAAAATTCACATGAATTCGTCTTGTTCTAAATCTTGCAAAAATTTCAAACTGTTTTCAAAGTTGGCGTCAAAGCCTGTTTCTCTACTTTATCTTTCAATTATTAGTGTAATTCAACTTAAGACTAGGTTTTAAGAATGCTTTAATTGCCTTTCTCTACAAGTGACATTTAGGATTTGTTTATAATGGTGTGGATCAGCGGACGGCATACGTTAAATATGACCTTTAATAACAGAAGGCATTCCGTGGCAGCACTAAATTCGACGTGTTGGCTAGTTTTGCCTACTGCGTCCTACTAGTCGCCGGCCAATACATAGGTGCGGAATAATTTAGAACCGGCCGGCCAATCTCCTTTTATGTTACAAAGAACGTTTTTTTGTCTTGCCCCAAGTGCTGACGGCTAGCAATTTGATTACTTGCAAGCGGCTCTGTATTTTGCTGACGTTTGTGGTTGCGGATTAGGAAACAAAGTTTTCACAAGAAATCCTCACGCCGAATGTCAACTTGGCCTCCTTACTTCAGGTGGTAAAAAGCTCGGCCGTTGATTTTGGAGTGGAAAGCATTAGGATGCTGCGGTTAGGAAACTTTAGTTCTCCTTATTTGTGTAACTTTCAATATTATATGTATATAATTTTTTTCTAAGGGTGTGTACAGATTTATCCACCATACTATTTATTATGCAAGCACTCTCATACGTACGTGAATAAATATCGCTCATTCACTTCAATATTGTCATAATTCAAAAAACCAAAAACGCAAAAAAAAAAATGTTTTAAAGCTTTGAATTTACATATCACAGTGTCATAACTCAAATAAACCCAACTCGAGAAAACGCCTTTAAAGTGTGGTATTTTCATATACTCCCATGGTAAAAATGAATACATATTTTGTTGTAGCGAGATACTGGTAATCGATAAGGCTATGAAATCTATAAACAACATAGTAGAAGAGATAGCGGTAATTTCTGCGTACTTAACTCAATATATGTATATATATGTATATATATTTTTTTTGGATTATACACTATTGAAGGAAATGAGCGATATGCTCCCATAGTAAAAGTGAATACACATTTTGCTCTAGCGAGCTACTCGTAATCGGTACAACTAGGAATTTTCACGCAACCATAGGGAAACAGGTAATTTTTTCATACTTAACTCCAGTTTGTATTATTTCGGATTATGAAACTAGATATTGGAGTAAATGAGCGATAAGTTTATACATATGCTAATTTACTAAAGGACCATCAAAACTAAAAAGAGTGATTTTCAGGGAGAAGCGTTTAGGTTTTTAATAACCTCCCAAAATGTAGAGAAACGAAACTGCACACGATTTGTACACAATCACCCTTATCTTGAGTTTCGCCCGAAATTTTTTCAACCTCCCGTAGTGAATACACGAAAAGTGAAAAATGAACCGGTTAGTGGAAAATTAAACTCATGTTAGGCTAAATATGAAACTTGTTACATACATATATGCAACGAGTAATACTGTATCATTTGCTAAAAAATTCAGTTTTTTATAGTTACGGGCCTTATTCTGTATCACGAACGATAGGCAAAATGAACGATTCGTCTGCAGACGACAACCTCTCTGATTGCGATTTTAAACTCTATCGGTCGTCTTCGTCTTGCTTTTCATACATTACGTTGCAATGGTCTCGGTTGCGTTTATACCGGCTAAAATGATGCCGCCGGACTAATTTTTGAAGCATTCCTCTG